AAATCCCCCCAAAACTTAACTCCCAACCAATGTGGGACTTTGGCATTTTGCCAAACTTCAACATGTCACACTAAATCCTTTCTGTGATTTGCATTTTGCTCAGTGTATGTTACAGATAATAAGTTCCTACTGTAGTATATTAACTTCTGTTGGTGTGGAATTTTGTGACCTGTTCAAACTTTTATAACTTCTCAACTTGCTTGGGATTGAGGCGTAGTTGCTGTGTTGTTGTTGGTCAAACTTCTAGAGCTCTTTTCCAAAATTTTATGTCCTATAGTCATTGTGATAACTAGTGTTTTAGTTGGATAACTAACATTAGAGAGCTCGAAAGTAACTTAAAAGGTTTATGTGGAGCTACAACCGTTGTTGCTGAAGATGCTATCTAGTCTGGCGTGTGGTGATGTGATGATACTCTCTGCCTTATATGATTTATCCTGTGCACTCTCTCTGGCCTTCGGTATCTTATTCATTATTATTTCATTGGGCAGTGTGATGAGGTGTCAAATACAGGAAGAACCATAATGCCTATTGAGTTTCAGGTATAGTATCTATATATTAGAACTCGATGATAATTTTCCTATACCATGCACTTGATGTCTTTATAAACGGTGGAAAGATACTTTTGTACAGCTTAGGTAAACATTTTTATTTTTTGGTATTATTTTCAGAAAACCATGAGATACCAATTAGTATCAGATGATTGGTTACTCTTTGTTGAGAACCTCTTAAAGGTCCTTTTCCCTTCATGTTTTTGTTTTTTGTTTTTCTGTGTTTCTCCACTTGGAGTTCCTCTCTTTCTGGATGGGTTTTCATGCTCTTGATCTTAAAGATCACCATTTTTCTGGCAATGCTCATCTGTTTGTTGTTGAGGATTCCTCTTAGCGTCTTTTCTGAAGGTTGCCAAATGAGCTGTAAATGTAAATGTTATCCAATGTGGAATTTGTTCTTCACCATGACCTCTTATGTCTGCATGCCACAGTATCATTTAGTATTTTACCTTGCATGATCTTGCTTGTCTCAAAGACTTCTGGTTACTTGTGAACTACGTTTACTTAGTTTATCCTCTTCCTCGGCACCTTGTTCTCTCCATTTCTGAATTTGAAGTCTTTGCTTACTGCTTCATTCTTCTGATGTCATTCCATTTTTCCGTTCCCTTAAAGGTCCTCCTTGATTATCTGTGTGGCACTTAATTCAAATTTTTGAGAAATGATTATTTGCTTTAATTTTTCGTCCCTCTTTTATCTTCTTTTTTTTTTTTTTTTTTTTTTTTTTTTTTTTTTTTTTTTTTTTTTTTTTTTTTTTTTTTTTTTTGCCTTTTGTTGCCTTTGTAAAGCATCAGTGGAGAAAGCATTCACAGTCTTTTGCATGTGGTAAGTTCACATAGTGGACATTATGTTTTCTTGTCCAACTTCTCTGAAAAGCTTTTTCTGGTAAGAAAATCAATTCAGCCTGTTACGTAAATTAGTTATCTAAGACAATGAGGCACAAATGCTCCTATTTCACTGAAAAAAAACTGTTTCGCATTGAAGGAAGGTTCTTTCTGCATGTTCTTTTTTAGCTTGATAACATCCTTATCTAGTGCTCATGTTTTCTACTTGATTTCCTATTTCTCTATGTTATAGGAGTTAAATAAAAGATTGTTTTCCTGTTATCTTTTCGTAGATGGCTTTGTTTCTTTTCCTCATCTCGAGCATTTCCTATTTGTTTTCTTTCAAACTGGTACTGGTAGTTGTTCTCTCTTTTAATCTTCAATTTTGTGCAGTTTCATTGACAGTTGCCCGTACCATTTGTTTCTTGATGAGTATCCTGGTCTCTTTGTCATGCAGTTAGAGAGATAAGCTTTACTGACCACAAAAAAATCGGAAAACCATCATTTGAGTGAGAATTTTCAGCTCCTATGAAAGTTTCTGTCTCAATTCAGTCATCTGTTGGTTGCCTTATCACCACAAAATAAGTTGCTAATTGGCCAAAATTTTGAACAATCTCAATGAGAGCACCTTCCATTTGTGTTAAAGCAAGTTCTACTATTTTTTGGGAACTCTCAATCTGAGCACCTTTTGCCAATTATTTTCAAAGCAAGTTCTAGTAGACATCTCTTTCTTTTTCAGCAGATCTTTCAGTTGATGCGATTTGCAGGTCAATGACACTAATTTAGCAGAAATTGAAGGTGGAGAGGTGGCAACCACAAACTTACAGTCCTGCAATGGTCCTGAGTTTGTATTACAACTTAGATTTCATGTAAACGATACCAATGTAAAAGTTGATTCAGGTAACATATATGTCATTTGTCACGACAAACACCTAGCAAGTATTTTCCTTAAATCCTGTTATCATAGAGGATTTTATAGTCTGAGATCAAATTTCTCAGGAAAGAGATCACCCCTAGAAGCAAATGCTCGCCTGAAGTGTGTTTATCTTCCAGTAGTGCAGGTGACACTATACTGTCTCTAGTTCTGTATTTTGCGATGTATCCTGGAATTTATTTTGGTGCGCACACAGATCATTCACCTCCTTGTCTAAGAAAGGCCTTGCACTTAAAACCTTTTTAGGGATGTTGGAATGCTTTTAATTGCAGGGTAAAGAGAGTATTGATGTGATATTGGAAAAGCTAGAGGCGGATGGATATGGAATTACAGAGAATTTTGAAAGTTTTAGTCATGTTTCTGTCCGGCGGTTGGGTCGTCTACTTCCAGATTGTCGATGGGTTAGTCGATCAGAATCTTTCATTTATTCATTTGCAAATTATACGTCCGCCAATCTTGTATTTAGTCACTATCCATAATTTGCCAAAAATTATTTTCATAATAAAATTTCTCCAAACTTTGAAAGAAAGAGCGTGTGTGCCTATTTATATGTTATTTTATACTTGTGTTATTCTATATGAACTATTGCTTTTTGTCTTTCTGCCTTTAGTTTCTTTTCCCTTTTTTAAATATTCTCAGCCTTGAACAGTGTCAACCATTTTTTTTGTTTCTTGCAGGCTTGGCTTCCCTTCATGGAACCTAAGCTAAGAAAGGGTGATAAGGCTGAAGTCTTGAAGAGATGCTGCTTTAGAGTAAAATGTTTTGTAGGTAAAACCATTTGTACCAAATAAGTACTCCCAATTAATGAATATGCATTTTGCTTTGTCATTGTTCCATGCGTCATAGAGCAATATTCTGCTTGCAGAGACCGATGCTGGTTTCAACCCAACACCATCAAAGGTACAGGACAACTTTCTTATATGCATTCTGACAACTTGTGAAGACAGATATTCATTTCCTGGCATGCAAAATGAGAAGTTTTTTTGTATATATCAATGGAGGAACAACCATGTGAAAAACAAGAGAAATACTCAACTTGTTGAATAGACTAGGGGAATCAAAATGCAGCTAATAATTCTTTACTTGGACAGTTGGAATCTTTCTATTCCAAACATATTCAGTCTGATTCTTTTTACACCACTGGTCACAATAAACTTCATACACTACGGCATTTTGTATCATTGCTTGTTGACCTGCTTCTATTTGTCTAGGACAACCTTGATGACAATCTTATATTTTTTACTTTGTTCCATTTCTTTATATCTTCTGGAGAAATGGAACAAAATTAATTTCATCCTAAATATGAAATAAAAATGCGGGAGAGAAAAAATAGATGCAATGCCTTAATCTAATTGGGGTTCACATTGGTGGAGGAAAGTCAAATCCTAGATGTTGAAGTAGAAGGTCGTGAGCTCCTCTGATTTAGGACCTAAACGTTAAGCATGAGTGATGTATTCGATAGCTGCAGCATCTGGCCACTAGAAGTACTCCAGATATATTACTCAAAGGAATTGGCACCAAGACAAAAGTTATTTTATTGTTGTCGCAATTGAGTTACCAGTATAATTGATTTAGGCCCACCTTATCTCCAGATCTCTTCCCAGTAGACCCCATATGATTGTCAATCGTAATGTCAAAGTAGCATTATTGGAATGAAGGAGGCCAATTAGGGAGTCATACAGGAGATTTCCTAGTGAAAGTGAAATGATAGATGTATAAGGTATGCTACTAGGAAATCTTGTGGTACTCTACCAACCCTTTAAAAATGAAGGGAAATTGTACCTCTACCCGAACTATTACACAGTGTAAATCAACTAAGCAGGAGCGAAGCCTTCCCCAACTCCAAGTTTTCGATTTGTATTTCTTTAGTGTTGTTCCAAGCTCCAAGAATGATATGTTCTATATGCATTTCCCTCTTTTCTCTGATGAGATCTGCTATATGTATTTGCACAGACTGACTTAGCCCATCACCATCCTTACACCATTGCATTAAGGAACTTTGGCAACAAGCCTTCTGAGAAAGAGAAAGGTAATAACTTTTGGTTTGCTGTGCACTGTTGAAATGATTATTCACTACGATGCAATGAGGTCTCCTCACCTAATGTTTCAAATCCTTTTAGATATTCATGTTGAGATATCCAAAGATGGAAAAAAGGTGACTCTCTTGCAAGTGGAGAAGCAATATCAGGACTGGATAATTCAGATGCATGAGCACTATGATGAAGAGGTTGACTGTGGAGAGGATCAACCTACTTTTGTACTCAGCCCTTCGCACAAGAAAGAGCTTGGTGTTTCTTCAGATGGTATTGATTGAAACACAAATCTAGTAGACCTTATGATAAATTTTTTTAGCTGTATCATTTTATTGTGATCTTGCAGCCTGTTTTTGAATTGGTGCAATTTGTAGTTTCCCATTAATGTTAACTTATATCATTGTAATTTGTAATTTCAGTTATGAGAATTCATAAAGTTTTACGAAGGAAAGGAATAACTTGGAAATCAGGGCAGAAGATTAAAATTTTGAAGGGAGCTTGTAGGGGTTTCCACAAGAACAATGTTTTCGCCACATTAGAATATATTATTCTTGAAGGATGTCAGGGGGAATCAGGTGGTAAGTGTTCAAAATTTCGTGGTTCTTAGAGTATACTATTCTACCTGTTTAATTCCGAGTAGCTCACTATTTTGGTATCTTATGGCTAGCTACTGCTTAAGTAATTACATATCTCTCTGCTGCATTATGTGTTAAAATTCGGCTGTAACCTCTCCATTGACGTTGTTGTGATGTTGTAACATTTTTCTCTATATTTTTTAGGTGAGGCTCGAATTATCTGCAGGTTAGTGATTCACTTCTTAATTTCAGGTCACTGCTTGTCCAGGTCTTTAGTTCCCCTCCTTCAACACTATTACCTGAAACTTTCCTGTCTTTACTATGATTACTTATAGGCCATTAAACGTCCCTGCTGAGAACGGTTCTCGCCTAATAGTTGATAAAGGGTGTGCTACCATAGAAATCCGTGACTCAAAATCTTTGCCGATTAGTGTGATCGACACCGGAAAGGTTCTTGTTTTGGCTCCATATTATTGCAGCTCAATTAAGTTGTTTTTATTTTTTGCGTTCTCTACATATCTATCTTTCCTAAATAATTAGTGTCATGTTTTGCAGTGCTTATCTGTTGATATTACGGAATGGGAGAACCAAATCTTGAAACACCACGAGAAAAGCACTCCATCGTCAATTGACATATTAGATGCCAAGCAATGTGAAGACTTGGGAATTGAGGGGGTTAGTTTCTAGAAGCAGCATGCTTCTTTTAATTACTGATTTATTTTTGTGTTCTCCATGATTTTCTCCAGTTGATTGCTAGTTTTTTGCATTTTTTTTATATAGCATTCCCTAAATTCATCTACTTGGGGTCCAAGTCAGATGACATAGTCTTTTTGTTAACGAAGATGAAGCTGAACAGCTCTGTAGGGTTCTTAACTTATTCAGCATGGTAAAGAAGTTGCTGTACTTGTGCCTAGTGGAACACTTTTCTCTATTTTCTTCAAAATTTCCTGCAAGGCTTATTGAGCATCTATTATTTTGAATATCTTTGGAATTGATCAGATTTCAGCTGTGTTTGATCTTGATGGTACGTCACATTTATACTTGTTCATTGAATTACTGAATTTGGTTGCAAACGCAGGCACTACCTCAGGATGTTGTTGATGCTGGACATGAGCCTCCTGAGGCGATTGTTGCCATTGTTCGTCCAGCTTCTTTTAGCTCTATTACTGCATCCGCAAGTTTGGATCAGAAATACATCATGAAAGAAAATTTTCAGATGACTCTAGAGGTCAAATTTGAAGCAGAAGCGGACAGGAAACAACTTGGTCATATTTACTCTGGCCGATTGACTCCTTCGTCGCGTAAAGGGTTGAACGGTCTATATATATTCCCCCTGAAGGAGAAATTTCCAGTGATATTTCAGAAAGCAGGCTTTTACCTATTTCGATTTTCTCTTGTAAGTTATATGTTCTTATATATATCCATTGTATGATATACTGAATAATGTGTTTGTTATCCCTGATTTTCCTTGCTATTGATATCTTTTTTCAGCAAGACAGTTGTGCAAAATTTGAAAAGGAAGTGCATGTTAAAGCATTGTCTGAGGCTGCTAGTTGGAAACTTATAAGTGATGGGAAGACTACACTCAATGTAAGGTGGGGCATCTCTATTCTAAACTGACTTCTTACATACAGTTGTGCAAAAAGAAAAAATTTCCAGCACTGAGTCTTAAGATTGCCATACAAATCTGATATAATTGATGTTCTAAATTCTCGTGGACGGAGAAAATAATTAGTTACCACATTATATCAATAAACATATGATATAGAGGAGAATTAGGATAAGAATATGATCCTCACGTATGAATCAATGAAGAAAATCTGTCCTTTTTTATTGGTCCATTTTCTGAAACTCCCCATTGGCCACTTACTCGGTATGCATTTTATATGAGTGGAGAATAAAGTAAGAACAATTACAAGATAAGATATAAATTTATATGAACTTCCTTGTCTTAAAGCTTGAACTGTTAACGAGGGGACACTTTTATTTATTTATATTTTAGCTCCTCAACATGCTTCTGGCTGATTCTTAGCCCTGTGCCAAGCACGTTGAAATATTTTTGTTGAAGGGTGGTGGTGAGACTCAAACTCTAGCCTCTGCCTACACTGATTGTTTGAATTGCCTCATCTAATGTTTTAGTTATTAGAGAAGACACTTTTATTTTTATTTTGGATCTTCAACAATTTTGAATGCGCATTTTCTCTTAATTCTTTTGCATTTGCAATCTATGAAGGAATGGAGTTTGATTTAATCTGTTGAGGACTTTATCAAATTATGCATGGATAGGAAATAGAATTATTATAGTTGAATGAGTTTCATATTCTTTAGTATAATGCTTGCCTTGTTTCCTTAATAATGCCTTGTTTTCAATATTTCTGAGGTGAGTTATTTAGATTAAACCTATGAAGCATTTATTTTCCCTGCAATTAAGAGCATCATGCAACATTTTATTTCTTTCTCCATTTGCCTTAAGTATCTCACTTATCAGCAATTAAGAATCAGCATCTAGTCTCAGATGCATGTGGTAGTAAACTTCATAGTACAACCTTACCGTTGTTGCATCGTAGCATATTTTCCTTTGCAGTCTATTTGAGAGAAACTGACTATTTGTTTCACCTGCTTATAAGCAACTCGTTCACTTCGTGACAAAGTTTGATGGTGTCTAAAATGTTCTTTGGCAGGGTTGGTTCTTTTTTTCCAGAGTTTTTGAGGGTTGCATGTTATGATAGATTTTCCAATCGTATTCCATTCAAGTTGCACACAAAGATAAAGATGAAGTTAAGTTCTAGTGGCAATGCTGTTGAGTCCAAGTGCAGTTATGATCAATTCATTTCACCTGACAGATATACGATGAAGTTTAAGGTGACATTATATGATCCCAGCTTCAAGTCCTTCACAGTACACTTGTCAAATCTTCTGTAAATAAAGAATAATATCAAAACTTTCCACTCTTCAGAATATAATTATTGAAACTAGTGACTTGGATAAGATTCGACCAAGTTATGAAGCTACCTTACATATATGTTCAAAGGATGATCCAGTTTCAGCAGCTATTCCTTGTACAGGTAATTGATGTATAATTTTGTTTTCCGTTGACTGAGAATATATAATATATATGTGCTGTTCCTTAGTTGTTTTCTTCTGCTTATAGTTATTCCTGGACCTTTGCAACGCGTCCTTCTGCATCCTGTAGATTTTGGCAAGAAATTGGTTCCAGGAATGATCATTAAGGAGCTTGCTTTGGAGGTAATGGAATTTTAATTCAACACCCTACTATCACCATAAGGTGTATTGAGTGTCATATAGAAGTAAAATTCAGCATTTCTTTTAAGACGAGGATCATTTTCTAGTTAATAGTATTTAAAACCCCTGTCATGCTTTAAGTTGTGAAAAACACTGTAACTGAAGTTTTCAAGGCGCAAAACATTGCTCTGTCCCTTTGACAAAATAATAGCATTTTATGTACAAGTGTAATGGAATTTTAATTCAACACCTACTATCACCATAAGGCGTATTGAGTGTCATGTTAAGCAAAATTCAGCATTTCTTTTAAGACAAGGATCATTTCTAGTTAATAGTTTTTAAAAACCCGTCATGCTTTAAGTTGTGAAAACACTGTAACTGAAGCTTTCAAGGCGCAAAACATTGTCCCTTTGACAAAATAACAGCATTTTATATATAAGTGTGCAATAGGAAATTAATATAAAAAAGAAATAAATATGTACAATAGGCAATTTATTAGAAAAAAGGGTGTCCAATATGCTATTTATTAGAAAAATAAAGGTGTATATAGGCTCCTAATTTCAGGAAGCAAGAGAAGCCACTACTAGTCTACTAGTAGATGGGATCATCTGATATCTTAGATGGTTCATTCATCTTGGAGAGTGTTGGAAGTTGCAAAAAAGCTTATGTGGAATAAAGCAAGTGCCTTTTCTAGGTATTGATGAGAGAAATAAAAGATATGACTGGCAACTTTTGGGTGTGTGTTGAGTTTAAGTGGACGTGTTTTAGTTCCTATATCCTGCTTTGAAGGATGTGAGATATGTTGCTTCTTCTTTACAACAAAAGCAACCACATGAAAGCCATAGTTCCAAAGCAAGCTCTAATGAGTCTGCTTTTTGCTTCTCAGTATGACCAGTTTGACATAAATCCATTTGCGATTGGTAGAGTATTGCATGATAGTGTGGTATCTACATCCTTTGCTCTTTTTTCTTAAAGGTAAACAGTAATCAGTCATCCTTGGATTTTTTCTTCTTCTATTTTCTGAAAAGGTAAATGCAGTAGTCCTTGCGTTTATTTTACATGATATATGATCCCTGTATGTTTGTCAATGAGCATTCTTTGTATCTGCTTTTAATAATACTACATGATTTATAAAAACTGAAACCTATGAGACCTGAAAATGGCAAGTGTGAGAATGCACGAGAGAAAAATCTATTTATTAACAATGATACAATGAGTCCTATATATAATACATATTCTACTTTTAGTACATATGGGACTAGGAATTTTTCTACTCCTACTTCATATGGGACTAGGATTATTTACTCATAACTATCTAACACTCCCCCTCAAGCCGGTGCATACAAATCATATGTAACCGAGCTTGTTACATATGTAACTAATACGTGATCTAGTGAGGGATTTGGTGAAAATATATGTAAGTTGATCATTCGACTTCACTGCGAGTCATGCCAACTCCTGCATAACTGTGCTTAACTTACCAAACCAGGCTCGAGGAGACTGCTTTAGACCAAAGTGGCCAGTGCAAGCGACATACAAGGCCACTAGACTCCTCCTGAGCAACAAAATCAGGTGGTTGCTGATAAATAGAAGTTGACCGAAAAGTCGCCAGAGAAATTTAAAAATAGTGAGACTAAGCCAAATTCCACACTACAAAATAGGTTCTAAACACCACTAGGAAACAGAAAACTTTTCTGGAAATTACTGTTCACGCCGGAAAATCACCGTTCACGCCAGGAAAGTGCATTGTTCACACCGAAAAATAAAAGTTGTCAGAATTTGATGTAATTTACATGGATAGGCTCGAAATCACCGGACGAGTAAGTTGTCCTGAAGAAGTTTTGTCAAAAAGTGGCCGGAATGGCTACACGCGCCGGAAAAGTTACTGTTGCTCGCTAAGAAATTCTAAAGTTCTCAAAATCTGTAAGAAATTGTACTAGTGGACTCAGAATCACCCCACAAAACAACTGTCCTAAGGAAATTTTTGAAAATTTTGGCCGGAAAGTGTTGGACGCATAGGCGCATGGTCAGACGCGCTCGCCGAAACTATGGGTGTTTAACGGGTGGGCTGGGCTGTATAGGGAAATTAAGTACCCGTACGGGTTATGGTCCGGGCCAGTTACGGGTTGGGGCATACCGGGTTTAACAGGTTTGGGTTCATCCGGGTAAAATTGAACCGTAAGGGTTACAGGTTCATGGGGCCGGGCCGGGCCGGGTTAGTGTTATTTTAATTTTTTTTTTTTGTATTTTGTATAACTATTGTAAGTTATATTAATATAAAGTGAAAATATAAAGAATACAATGAAGATGGGGAAAAATTGCACTTATAAATTGCAAGTGCTACATTTATTTCAAAATTACAAAATTGAAGTTTGCATTTAACAAGTAAATTAACAAAAAAATAGTAAAACTAAATTTTCATGCATAATAATACTTCAAATTAATCTAACAAACTAAAACATTAAGCATAAATATGTCTAATAATTTTAAAATAACACATTGTCTCAAATCAACTTAAATACGAATTTCCGGAGGACGCTCAAGACAACTCTTCATATGCCTCCTTAAACTGCCTGTGCCACACTTTGGACGAAGATTTAAGACTCGACCACAGTTCTTGCACTGTACTTTCTGAACTTCTTCATTTTCTTCTACCACCTCAAAGTGTTCCCAAACATATGAGCGCACTCTAGAAGTACGAGGCATGATTTAACTTGAATTGAGAATTTGAGATTGAGAAATGTGAGATGAGTGAAGAAATGAAGAAGAGGGGGGGTGTATTTATAGTTTTTCAAAGGGGGTTAATTTTTTAAAAAAAAATCAAAAATTGGGCTATTTGTGCAATTCAGCCGTTGGGCAACAGCCATATTGTGAAATGGACCGTTGCCAACGGTCAGAATCTGAGGCCCAAGCTTAAAAAAAAATTGTTACCGTTAAACCGGTCTGGGCCGGTTAACCGGAGGAACAATGTTGTTCGTTGACCGGGTTTGACCGGTCCGGTTAACCGGTGGTTCAAATGTGAATGGAACAAACCCCATACCCCTATAACCCAGCCCCACCCGACCCCCTTATACCGGTCTGGGCCGGTTCCGGTTTAAACCGGTATGGAAACGGGCTAACCCGGCCCGTTAGACACCCTTAGCCGAAACCTTAGTTCTAGCGGCGAGTGGGGGTGCGCGAGGGAATTTCTCCCGGAGCGATTGACTGGGGTTTTGTCACCTAACTTTTCCGAACAAGATGGTAGTGTTGGTTTTCGCACAACACTAATCGATGAGGAGATAACACAAATCAATCTTGAGTCGTCAACCAGAAAGACGCACGGTGACTGACTTTTCTGTACAAGGGTTTCGGATATGATGGTGGTATTGGTATATGCACAGTACCACTGTAGTAGTGATGAACCTTGGGAACAAGATGAAGTTGCCGGAAAATTGCACGACGACAAGATCTTTCTTCCCGGATGTCGCTGGGTGACGCACAACGATAATTTTCTTACTGAAGCTTTGATACCATGTGAGAATGAGAAAAATCTATTTATTAACAAGGATACAATGAGCCCTATATATAGACTCCTATTACATATGGGACTAGGATATATTCTACTCCTACTACATTTAGGACTAGGATTGTTTATACATAACTATTTTTTAGTAAGGATTTCGCAATGTTAGGTTTGATCCGTGCAGCTACAATGGGACCTGAAAATGGTAAGGACTTTGTAAGGTTAGGATTGCTCAGCTTCCAACTTAGTCTTCAGCTCTCAGGAATCCTTGTGGCTGTCTTGTTTATCTTGCTGTATTGCTTGCCTCTTTACCCTCCTTGACAGAGTTTTCAAAGTTGTTTCCCATATCAAATCTGTACAATCAACCATTTATAATAATTTTTCTTTGTCATACCACCACTCCGTATTTGCTTACAATTCATCAATGTTGGTGAAAAGAAACTGTAACCTTGCATCAGAAGAATCAATTTTTGACTACATTTACGACATGAGGAAGAACATATGCTTGTTGCTTCTGAAAATCGCAAACATAGAAGCTGCTTGATAGATAATGAAATCTCACATGTTTATTCTTGTTTTATGGTTTATTACAGCATGTAGCTCCAGTTGTTTTTATTACCTGCAGTCCGTGCAGTTGTATATATATTTTTTTATTTTGTCTTTGATACAGACATTTGACAAGTATGGTAATCATATGAGAAAAGATGAGCACATCAAGCTGATGCTGGAAGGATTATGTTTACTAGAAAAAGGAGATTACTTTCTGAAGGTGGTTGCTTTCCTTTTTTCTCTTTCTATTTTTTATACATCTAATGGTCCAGTTGGTAAGAGGGGAAAGCACATTGAAGAAGATAGTTTGTAGTTTTTTCTTGATATCAATTTGAAGTGTGAGAACTATTTCCTTTCCTTTTGAACTTGCTCGATCAGATTATCTACGACAAGATTTGTATTTAGGGATGTCTCAAAGTGTCACATACTTCTCAGCTGGCAAGTAGTTTCAAGGAATCAGATGCAGGCGCAAACATGAACCTCCTAACTCGCACAACTTTTAATTAATTTAGTCTTTGCCACAACGGCAATATGCAAGTCTAGCTAACTATATAGTTCCTATGCAAGTCAAATCCTGTTGGTGACCATGTATCTGGGAACTTGTGTCATTAGTACGTTATCAATGGTCAAATGCTACAGATAAGCAGGGATTCTTTATATGGTTCTCACTCTGGGAGAAATTGTCTAAGGTCTGCAGATGACCAATGTATTGAATTTTTGTCTTGAAACGGCTCAAAATTCTCAAATTACTCTTTTCTGTTTAACCTATCTCAATAACTGGTTTAGATCAATCTTGTTTCTTCTATTACTTGTTGGTATGGTTCCTTGATCTATTCATATTTGGTCTTAGTAATATTAAGTCAGTAGGTGTTTTCAAGGTCATGTGCGCCAATCAGGAGTTGTCTTAGTTTTAGCATCTGTATGTTCTGTAACTTGTATACATGTTCGTATATGCATAGACGAATAAGTGGTGTTATATATTACACTTTCAGACAGATAAATTAGCTAAAGCATCTCTATCTGCAATGGTGGCTTGGTGTGTGCCTCTTGGTGTTTGATGTCTTGTTCTTTTAAACTTGCTTGTTTTCAATTTCCTTTGCTCTTTTCAAGTTCAAATGGTGTAAGTTCATCAGGTTTCTTGTTTCTTTTTACGTTGTTTGATCCACGGTCTATTGGATATTCTAAGCTTCGTATCTCGTGATATAGGTTGACGTTCATGGGTGTGTAAACCTTAATGGAACCTTGAAGGTTACAGCAGGATATGGTAAACCTGGTATGTGCTTTAACACATCATCAAAGTTGTTGCAGTAATGAAGATTTTGTATTTGTTGGTCTAACGTCATGATCCAAAATTCATAACCTGCGTAACATCTTTTCTGGGAGTGATGCCAGACTACTGGTATTATTGCTTAGCAGTGTGTGTGCTGAATGCTGGTAATCTTGCTTCCACGGTAACTCATTAGACTTCATCGATCGGGATGTCCTTATGAAAGAGTCTCACCAATGTGGTTTCGGCTTTAGTAGTAAAAAGGAAGACTTTTTCATCCTCTTGGATCAAGTAATTTGCAGATCCAATATGATGTTATTGCTTAAATATCCTTTTCATAGTTGCATTAAGACTCCATTTATTTGGTGGCAATGAATGTGTGGGATAAGGGTGTTTGAAGAATTGCAGGATCAGTGGTCCCCAGTCCTTTAACCAGTTATTTATTCTGCCCACAGTTTTCCTTTCTATTTTTTCTGGCGATGAAGTAGTTCTCAAGAAAGAGTTCCAAACTGAAGAGAGATGGTTGCGAGTTGCATCCAAGGTTTGTCAACGCTCCTCAATCCCTTAATTGTTGCCAATAGTTCAATCTCTCTGTGTCACAAACCATTGTCCATATTAAATAATGAATGCATGACTTCTTTTTGTGCTTTTTAGGTTCTAACATTGGCCTTGACATAGAATAGTGTGGCCAATATTATTTTGATTCACAGATCTTTAAAATTGGAAATTACTTGGTTTTCAATTTCTTGACATCCTCTCAAAGATGGGCAAAACGATGGAATAGAGAAATATTTGTTTGTTATGTAAATGAAAAAGATGATTTGAATATTAGCGTGCACCTGAAAATGTTCTTATGGTGTTTCCTTTACATCAGATACCTAAAGTTTGTGCCGCTGGTTCTCATTTGGAAGATATTGTCTTTGAGGTCATAAATTCTGCTGGTGAAGTGGATGAAGATATCCATGATGAAGAGGAAAATGGCCACTCTCATACCCTTCTGATTAGGCAGGACTCAATGAGGGGAGAAGACAATGTGAAATACAGCTTCAGTCATGGACGCTGCATTGTCCGCTCCATTCCTCTTCCAAAGAATGAAGGGCTTTTCTGTTTTATAGCCAATCACTCTCGTTTCCACGAGCTGCAGACAAGCATAGAGGTTTTATCCTCGATGATTTACTAATTTCTATCTTGCCAGTACCACAGCCTCATACTTTTATGTGCAGGCGTATGTAGAGAAGGTGGTAAACAGTGAGCATGAAATTCCCCAACCTAGAAATCTGAAGAAAGAGCTTATGCTTCTTGGTGATTCATATTATTCAAAAGCCCCAGAAGTTGTGTATGAGCACACCTACGATGATTTTTCTGATGGAAGTATATTGCTCTTGAAGGATCCATGTGCTTCCGCAGAACCGGAAGGCGGACTACAAAACCAGCTTGAAAAGGTAAGTATGTGTTTCAGAATTACGAATGATAGTCTCCTGAATCAGTCAAATTATTCTTTCCTTTGGTGATGGAGGATGACCTTTCTGAATGTTTGAAGTTTGAACCACATCTCTTAGAGGATGTGGTTCTGTTCTCTTTTAATGTATGTCTCCAAGTGCTATAATTATCTTGACTATTCTTACACACAGTAGTAGTAGTAGTAGTAGTAGTAGTAGTAGTAGTAGTAGTAGTAGTAGTAGTAGTAGTAGTAGTAGTAATAGAAGGGTTAGAAGCAGCAGCAGGTTCTGCAGGAAGGACCAATGAAATTTTTACCATCCTTTTCTTTTGGCATATTCACTTTATTGTTGCATGACTATCACTAAACTTGAGCTGTGTTTCTTGACAGAAACTTGTGGATGATATTTTCAAGTGTGGTCTAAGCATCAACAAGTGTGACGCAAATCTGAAAATACTTCGCTTTAGGGAATCAAATATTGTGCTTGAGATGTCCAACTTGGGAGGTACTAATTCCACTGATGCTTATATACTACTGTCTGCGCTTCATGCCTTCAGCTTTCTGTGAAAGTTATCATGTTTCTTTCATGCTGGTGTGTTGCATATGGTTTGGCGCTATGTAGTCTAGAAAATTGTAAAGTGGAACAAGAAATCAAAGGCAATATTCTATTATGTGTGCATCATTAACCATGTATATTCCGCTTTCCATGCCATGGAACCAAACTATGTTACATTAGGGATATAACCATCTCTTAATTTGTTGTGTATGCTTTTCTGTTTAATATTTTGCAAGTAACTGGACACATGCAATAGGCAATGGTAACATCTTCTTTGAATTATTCCATTCTTTAGGTTAATGAGAAATCCTGATTCTGAACCTAGTGGGTTCAAGTGTAAAGATTAATATTCCTAGATTGTTTAGATTCTGTATGCTTTATATATTCTACTATATTTTCTTGATCTCACTGTCTCTACAAATTTAAATGTGATTGTGCAACATTGTGAAATAATTTCATAGAAATTTTTACAAGCTGACTGCGGCAAAAGGATACTGTGATAGACAAGATTGCTGAATCATCCTGGTTTGATTGTCATTTGAAGGCTCTCTCTGTGATCCTGTGTACTTTTTTGCTATTAAATAGAAGAGCAACATGTGAATAATTCCTAGTACTTATCTTTTTCGATTTTATGGAGAATGCTTTTTGTTTTTAAACTATCTTCTGGACTAAACACTGACTCTCCATAATTGGTAAGGGACTATAAATACCAGAAAGGAAATGTAAAATATTATGAGGTAAATCTTGAGGTGGTTAAATGGGGAGGCTGTCTCTTTTTCTGATTTAACTCTGCCTACTCAATTCTCTGGCTATAAAATTCCATCGTGTGAATGTCTTATGTGCGTAAAGATGGTAAGATTAGACAATATTGAGCGTGTGAAGGAAGTGAATGAAAGAGTAGGAATATGGAGTCGTGGTACCACGTCCATGTTACCGTCTCAGTTTCAAACTCTATGATTAAAGGAGAAAAGCTAGTTATTTTAGGATGAAGATCAAAGAAAGAACAAAGACAAATTGCTAAAAGAGAAACCCTTAAAAGTTTTTACTGCTTCAGTGTGCGTGTTGAACAGTTAAAAGGTGGTCCTTGTAATTCTTTTTCTGTTCCTAGTGTCCTGTGCTTTCTCCCAGAACTTCTCCTCATCTTTCTTGTCGTGGTGCCATAAATAATCCTACAATTTAACAATCTGTTAAATAGGAAGAGATTGGTGCTTGTTTTTAGTAGAGGATCACCTAATTAGAAACGGAGTGCCTTGCCTTCTTTTTAGACGTACTAAATGCATCTTAGAAATTGTGACATGAAATGCTTATGGATGCAGCAAAGATCGGTCCTGATTCTTTTCACAACTTGGGCTACAATAGAAACATGGTTGTGGAGAGGATTGAAGGAAAGGCCGACACTGCAGCTGCTGTTGTTCACAAGCTCCTCAGATCACCAATATCGAAACAGCTACATCTTCAATATGCTAATGACATACTTGGTGTAGTTGCACTGCTTGGAGAGGTTCATACCCATAAGCTTAGCAGGTTGGTATTGGCGTGCTTTTCTTTTATATGATTGCAGTATAAAACATCCTTGGACATATGGATGTAACTGAGTGCCTTTTCTTGTCTTAGCATGTTTTCAGCATATCTAGGGGAAGATCAAATGCTTGCTGTAGTATGCAAATCCCGTGCAGCTGCCAGAGCTCTTGAAAAGTATCAAATGGATGGAAATGTGAATTGCGCCAGTCCTCGTGACATGTTAGCAGCTAAGCTTGGAATTTCCATCAATAGTCGATATTTGGTTATATGCCTTGAGGATATAAGGTAAAAAACTTTCTTTCTCTGGTTTACTTTATACTCGTCTGTATTTTTATAGTTCTGGTTGTAGGTTTCTCGCTCCAGTCAACAAATCATGCTATCTGAACATAGAATGTGTAAATTTCTTGCTTTTTTCCAGACCATATACACGAGGAGTCAGCAGTGATCTCCAAGGAGAACTTGCTCTTCCGATCCCTACTTTATCCAATGGAGAAACTCCCCCAGGCTTTATGGGGTATGCGGTTAATAAGATATTCCTTCCTGCAGAGCATTTGCAGTTGAGAACTACTTCAGGTCATGGTCTTCGAGAGACATTATTTTATCGCCTGTTTGGTAAGCTTCAGGTATACAAGTCTAGAGAGCACCTTTACATGGCAAGTTCCTGCATAGAAGATGGTGCGGTTTCCTTGGATGGTGGAATGATGAGAGGGAATGGAGTTGTATCTGTTGGATTCGGGTGTGTAAGACTATTCCATCAGTGTTTGATAGTTGTTTCATTCAAGTCATACTATTTTTCTCTTTATAACCAATGACTTAACCTTTTTTCCTACTTCTCTGTCATTTATTTGTTTCTTGTAATGATGAAGTGAATCTGCATGACATCATGGGCTTATTGATTAATGCCTGCCTTTATTTTTGTTCAGGGAACCATACATTCTATTTCCAGTCATCTGTCCGGAAAGCCAGTTGCCACTCTCTTCTGACAGAGTGGAGATATTGAAGCAACTTGAAGAAAAGAAGCTGGAGCTAAGTCAAATGCAAGATCAGATAAAGGAAGAGAATAGACGTAGAGAAAAGTACACGAGGAAGTTGGCCAAAAAGCTCGAGTATAAAAAGCAGATAGAAGAGTTGGGATCTCCACCTGGAATGTGCAGCTCTAACATGTATATCAGCAGTGCTACTCCTTGATGCTGGTTTTGCTTCTTCTGAGGCCTATACATGTAATTACTTGAAACACAGCCTCTTATGTTTATTTATGTCGGAGACTTCCCTTTCTGGAACATATTTTTGGTCTGCTTCCATGGCATCTTTTGGTGAGAAATACAGTGTAGTTTACTGTACATCAGTTGTAGGAATTTCAGAAGTGAATTACAGCATTGTTCAATGCAGCATCTCTTATTGTATAGCCCCATTATAGTTCTCTTTTGTGAAATCTTTAAGGAATTATTTACTAATCTTATTTTGGAAAGGATTTCAATGAACAGCTACATCTGGTTCGCTTTTAGCTCGTAACATACAAATAACTGTTTGTCCTTTTAGCCTTGGAATTTTTTTTACATACAGTTACATATATATTTCTAATTCGGGAAAAAGAAAAAATATCGTACCTTGTCAATCATGAATGTTAGGAAAAGTATTAACATTTAGGTATTAAGCCTCTAAGCTTTCTCACTGAACTTGTTCCGAAGGGTTGGTGAAAGCTCTAGAGCTAAAGATAATGGAAATATTTACTAGGCGTTTGAACATAAGAATTGTAAAATTAGAAAAAGTGGTGAAAAAAAAATTCATCTGAAAATGGTATTTGAAATTTAGAGTTGTGTTTGGACATAAATTTCAGTTTGGGTTGTTTTTTGAAGTTGTGAGTGATTTGAGTGAAATTTGAAAAACAGCTTTTTGCAGTTTTTCAAATTTTCAAAATGCATCTTCAAGTGAAAATTGAAAATTTTATGAACAAACGCTGATTTCGAAAAAAAGCGAAATGTTTTTGGAAAAATCTTCCATCAAATTTTATGTCCCAACGGGCACTTAAATGTGCTTATCTTTTGGTTTAGCGGACTAATTAAGGCTTATATTGCTTATTTTTCTTTTCTAGAGAAATTTTTGAGAGACAGAAAGAGGGACGAATAATAAAGGAAGTTGGCCAAATGATATAACCTGGGATGAATTGTTGCTACATAGCCCAACTTTGTCAAGATGTGTTTCTTTGTAGTCTACTTAACTAGTGAATTTTGCAAGGTTTGGATAGTATTGTACTTTATCTTTTTTTCTTTTCTGGTTTTTCACCGGATTGGTAAATTGTATATTTTTTTTTTCCCTTGCGGCATCTGGTTTTTATATTGGGGTCTGATTAAATTTGAATTTAATGTCGGAGGCGAATACATACCCAGAGCTCAAACACGAGACCCTTGGTTAGTGATGAAAGATTACTTACAATTCCACCACAAACCCTTGTTTTGTGTTAATATTGTACATTGAATAGATATAGTTAGAGTATGTTGGTCGATGAAAAATTAATGTTTTTAGGAAAATAGGGAGTATTTGTTATTTATGTACTACTATTATCAAAACAATAGTAAAATGTATTGCTAAAATTATCAGAAAAAGAGTCAAATTTGTCCTAAATTATGCGAAATGATCTAAGATATATTTATATTTTCCCTAACATACGATAAATGGTTAGTCTCCAATCTTAATGTTTACCACTAGTAATAGCAATGTGTTAATTTGAAAATTAAACTCACCTCCTTTTTAATTTTTTTACACCTTAGTCGCCCACCCCCACCCCTATGGCCCTATTTCAATGGCCAAACAATGGTATCCCTTGTTTGACAAAGAAGGAAAAAAAAAAAATCCTCCACAACTTTCCTTTCCTATAAAGTCTCCTACTTCTCTTTCTTAAAACCCACCTATTACTATTAACATCCTTACAACTCAAACCTAAAAAATAGTCATGGCTGCATGAGCATAATAATTTTTTTTTCCAGTTTTTGTTGAAACCATTAATGCTGGTCTTCAAAGTCAGCTTTCTCTCTTCTTGCTTTAGTGAAACTAGTGTTAGAATCAGCGTCATGCACGAATAATTTGACAGAATATTAATCTTATAAAATTATAATTTAATATATTATATTAATTTAATAAATATTAGTTATTATTTTATTATTTAATATATTATGCAGAAATATAATAAAATCTATACAAAATCAAAGTACGCATAATATAGGAATCAAATAAATTATTTATTCCTTATTTATTCTTTATTAAATTAGCAAGTACTTACTACTATATATTTACTAATGTGACTTTTTATTAATTTATCCATTGGCTTAATATTTTTATATTACTTCTCCTTTGATATAATATAATATAATATAATATAATATAATATTATATTATATTATATTATATTATATTATATTATATTATATTATATTATATTATATTATATTATATTATATACACACACATACATACATGCATACTGCTTCTCTTTTAATATAGCATAGATATATATTTTTTTACTCTTCAAATATATTTTTTTAAACTTATGTTATACTGTTCAAAATTCTTCAATTGTCTAAATTTATCACTAATTTTTTTGAGTCTTATTTTTTTTTAATTAATCCAAAATATAAATATCATTAAATTATATTTATCCCCCTCTTTTCGTACATTCTTTTCTACTGTAATATTTGATTATTTTTTTTCATATTGTAGTTTACTGAAAAGTTAAACAATGTAATATTTATTTAATAAATTATAATTTTGAATTCATCAAAAGTATAATGAGATAAGTCTTTTCTTATTTTTATAAAAAATCTACCAATATTTTTAAAAATTATTAATTTATGTTATTTATATAATATGCGTATCTTATGTATAATATCTGAATAGTATATTTATATTTTTGTTATTTTTATTATAAAATTTTGAGTTCTATTTATTAACTAAAATTTCCTACATAAGAAATTTAATGAGTATATATATTTTTACGCTATCGCTTACAATTCTTTTTTTATTCTTTATTTATAACTATTTGTTTATTATGATTTTAGTTATGTGTATATGTATGACTTTTCTCATCATAATTCTAATTATAAGTCTTATATTTTTATATTTTTCCATAAATTTATATTTTATTTTTTTTTCCCTTGCTTATCTGATTGTATTATTCATTACTTTAATATTATTAAATAGTCATATAGATTTTTAATAAACTACCTATTTAATATATTACAATAATATAATTTTGTATTACTCTTGAAATTTAACTTGACTTTATAATTTATCCTATATGACTTTCTCACAATTATTTTGATATTTAAATTTATCAATAATATTTTTGAGTATTATTTATTTACTTAATTTATCAAATAAATTTAAAGTGTGGATAGAATGACATTATATCTATTCTTCTTTTTATACATTAGTTTTTGTTCTATAGTATTTGATTTTTTTCATTTAGTGTTTATCTATAATACGAATGCTATTGTATTATTTTTCTAAATGGATTGGTTGAATTAGTTCAAAGGCTAAACAGAGAGTTCTTTGAATATGTGTCATAAATCTATTAATAATTGTAATAATTATTTTTTTTTATTATTTTCAATACAATTAAATGTACTAATCTTCTTCCTGTTTGTATTTAATATGAAAGTTTTTTTTATTAAGGTTACATAACAAGTTATATATCTTTATATATTTTATTATTTTCTTGAAATTATTGTTTATGTTTTTGTCTTTAGTTTTATCTTATCCATATTGCATTTATAACATGACCATATGAATTATTATTCAAAAAACTTTCTCATCTCAAAAAATATATTAGTCTTACCATTTTATATATCTCTACATTGAAGTTATATATATATATATCCTTTTTTTATAATAGTTTCCTTAAAAATATATAGATATTTAATTATTTTAAATTCAAATAAAAAGAGTAACTAATTATTAATTAACCTAACTAATTTTGTCCTAAACTTCGACACTTGTTGAATTTTTATTGTGACACTTGGCATCATCACATTGATTTGCTTCCCCTATTCTATATTGATAGATAATTCTAATTATAAGTCTTATATTTTTATATTTTTCCTATAAATTTATATTTTATTTTGTGTTTTGTTACTTGTTTATCTAGTTGTACTATTCATTACTTAATATTATTAAATAGTAGTCACGACCCCAAATATCCGATCGTGATGGCGCCTATCACAATACTAGGAAAGCCAACTCAACAAGTAACCACAGTCAATTTCTTTTACTAAAAATATTTTTCTAACATTTAGTTAAGTCTCAATTTTCATAAAGAATTCATAAATCACTGAAATATGCGGAAAACATTACAGAAAATAGACCAACACAGCCCAACAATCTGGTGTCACGAGTCTAGAGCCTCTAAATACACTGATCTGACTGTCTAATACATAACAAGTCTAAAAATGCAGAAAAACAAGGATAGGAAGGAGAAAAGCAGGGCTGCGGACGTCGTGCAGCTACCTTGCAATCTCTGATAAGCTCTAGAAATGCAGGGAACCCTCACTCTACCGCTTGAGCACCTGTATCTGCACAAAAGGTGCAGGGAGTAACGTGAGTACGCCAACTCAGTAAGTAACTAAAGTAAATAAGGTCTGAAAGCAATGACGAGCAGTTAAAAATCATATAAAAGAGTAACCACAGAATATCAAATCAAACTCAACAGTTTAATAACCAGTTTCTTCATAAATCTTCAGTTTCAATTGAAATACTTTGAAATCATTTACTTAGCAGTTTTCAAAAGAGGCTCGTTATAAAAGAAGAGTGAAATCAGCAAAAATATCATAAATGGGCCCCTCGGGCAAGGTATCACTCATAAATATAGCCTCTCGGGCAAGCCTCTCGGGCACTCGTGACTTAGCTCTCGTCACTCAGTACTCACACTCAGCACTCAGGCTCAATAATTCTCATAATATTAATAATCATAATAACCGCTAGNTATATATATATATCGTTGCGGCGTGCAGCCTGATCCATATAAGTATCGCTACAACGTGCAACCCGATCCATAATATATGCTATAAAATTGTTGCGGCGTGCAGCCCAATCCGTAATATTTATAATCCTCACCATTAGGTCATCAACCTCTCTTAGTCATTAACCTCACAGCCACTCGAGCATAACAGTGGAAATCAGGGAACTCAGTCCAATCAGTTCTCACATTTTAAGAAGTTGAGTGATAAAATCAGTTTTAAACAATAAACAGGTAAAACATGACTGAGGATATGCTTTCAAACAAATAGAGTGAGAAAAACAATAAAAAATGCCCCTAAGGGTCTCAACAGATCGGCACAAGGCCCCAAACATGACATATAACTCATAATACAGTATAAATTTCTAAAATACGGGATATCATAAGATTTCAAATCAAGTACGCGGCTTAATAGTCGCTACGTGACGGACCAAGTCACAATCCCTACCGGTGCACTCCCACACGCTCGTCACCTAGCAT